CCTTCAGCAGCACCAGTTCATGTTCACATTCATGGTTTTCTTCAGTTTCTGTTCTACTGCAGAATATTTTCAGGTTATCTGCTATAAAAAGCCAGAACAGGAACATCTGCTTCATGTTTTATCCTCAGTGACACAAAGCTGTGATGCTCACACCTCTGATGAAGTCTCACAGCTTCGTTTGTATACATGGATATAACTGATAAATGATCATATTTCTGTCTCAGGCTAAACTGAATGAGGACCTTGTGAATCAGAACTGCAGACTGTAGAAACCAGCGATACGCAGACCTAGCTTTGGGGGCACAGAGCTTGTACTGCTGCCATAATCCCAACTCTACCCTTTGAGTGGATTACACATGAAGTCTGATGACGCTGTCGTCTTATTCGAACATGAACGACGCAGCTCTCCGACCACGTCACAGTTGAGACACGTCTGTCTAACCTGAACAAACAGGAACCCTCTGCAGGTTCGCGTGCCTTCAGCATCACCCCATCAAAGGTCGGTCAGTTCTCCCTCACCTCGTGACTAACCCATCTATACTGTACTGTAAGCGTTACAGAGCTCTTCCTAAAGGTCAGAGGTCAGGAAAGTTTGACGACGTCAGCTGTTGTAGAGCTGCTGCACGCTGCTTACACAGGTGTTTATATCACACACGCTGCTGATCCGGTCTATTCACTACTGATAATTGATCGCTGTCCCGTGACCTTTGACCTGGACCGTGCGGCTTGTTCTTCTTGAAGCTGACCCACGTGATCTGAATGCAGGCGATATTTCTGAGGTGCTCTGATTGGACAGCTTTGGGTTTTCCTTTACTCGACCCTTAAAACTGAAGTTTGTACAGGTATGAACTCACCTGTACAAACTCGCATACCTTTGAACGTTAGCTCGTTAGCTATGATGCTAACATGACGTCAGCCCGGTATTAAACGTTGATCTGTGACGTAATTCATATATATATATATATTTTTTAAAAAGTCCAGAAGTTAAAAGGACACTTTGACGTTACTTACGGCAGCAGTGACGTGTGCGCGGCAGAAATGTGCTACCTGTGAGGCTAATGCTAACGCTAACTGACAGCAGTTTCTTCCTCTGCGGCTCTGCTCAGCTGGCAGGAAGAACCCGTCCGCTTCCGGCAGGATTTTCAGAACAAAGGCGGAGTTCAAACCTTAAATACAAAATAAGAGCTCGTGATGAGAGAGGCTTGCACAGACCAGGTTCCGGTCACTGCTGCTCTATGGATGTGATCCCAGGTGATTACCGGTGCTGGAAATGCTAGCGCTTGATGCAGTGTTTTTATTTTGTTGCCACACGTACCTACAATGCAATGCGCGAAAGTCACGTGGTCTGTCAATCTCTATAAACGCTGTACTTTCCACAGCGCTTCCTGCTGCTTCATTTCTTTGTCGGTTGGTTACCTGGTTACCATGGAAACATGAATCCATCCATTCTGACTCGCGGCTGAAGCCTATCCCGGCTGTCTCAGGTAGAAACGCCCTGGTCAGGTGTTGCTAGCACAGAGAGGAAGACATTCACACCTGTGGGCAGTTAGCCACTCAGACACGGGAACATGTTAACCACACAGACAGACCGCGGCCTGGCGGTGGGATTCAATAATCATAACCTTATTGATCACTTCAGCATCTACAGGGCACTGATCAATAAAATAATATTGTAATACAACGTTATCAACTGAGTTTGATCAATATTTAAAAAACGTGTTAAAGAGCAGAACTCAAACTACTGACCACAGGTAAAGAGGAAAAGAAATCAGACGTTTATTTCATGAGCTGATCAATGCCGATGACAATCAATCAATACGAAACAAGGTTTTATTGTAAATATTTCAGTCAAAGAAAAACAAATAGGCAGCTAATAAATACTGTTTATTGATGAGTAAACACGTGATTGGCTGAAGAGAGATTAAGGCACATCAGACTGTGAGGTCACTTCCTGTTTCACACACACAGCAGAGGGTGGGGCCCAAAAGCAAAGGCGTGACCGGCTGATGATCACAAATCAGAATATCGATCAGTCGATTGATATCACACAGAACTTCTGATCAATGCTGTGAGCATGCTCAGTCTGGAAGAACCTCTAATCAATATTCTGATCAGTTATCTGTGTGTGTGTCGCCTCGTTGTCCAATCCTCTAAGTCCTGTGATTCTGTCCAATCAGGAGGCAGCGGACCGGTCACCTGACCAGAGGGGGATGGAGTCAGAACCTTGCATCAGCTCTTGGCTTGTTTCCTCTTCTGAATGAGCTCGGCGAGGATCTTATACCGGATCATGCACTCCTCCTGTAATCGATACACAATCCGTCAGTTATTGATCGCTTCTCAATCGCTTGTCGAAAGGTCGCCCGCCCCCGCCTCACCTTGCTCTTTCCCGGGACCACCTTGGCGATGCGGTCCCAGCGCTCGGGCGTCCCGCGAGGGAACTGCTGCAGAGCGAGTTCCAGCAGTTTCTGCTGGTTCTGAGTCCACACGGTGGGCTCCGGCTGAGGCTCCGCCTCCTCCTCGTCCACCGCCGCCGGGTCAAAATCTCTCTGCCGACGACCTCTGACCTTCGCCTCCCCCCCATCTGAACACTTCCTGTTCCTCCTGCGAACCGTCGGTGCCTCCACCTCCTCCTCTTGTTCCTCCTCACAAGCCTCGCCCTCCCTCTGAGTCATCATGCTGTCGTCCACATTATGTGACTTCACAGGAAGAGGAGGCGCCTTTAGCTCCGACAGCTTCACCAGACCTGAAACACGAGAGAGTACGACTGATGTAACCGGACAGAACCGACAGTAGAACCGACAGTAGAACCGACAGCAGAACCGACAGCAGAACCGACAGTCCTATAAGGACACACATGTAAACGACTGGCATTATTACTGCCGTCACAAACGTAACAACATATTTTTACAGCGTCTTGTTTGGTCATCCACAAACTTTGTTCACGGTAATCAAAGCTACGCCACAGAAACGCGACCTGGAAAAGTTTATCGACGTTGAACTGTGGCGACATTTTTATCCAGAAGGCAAACTGGAGGTGGGCGGAGTTACCTGAGGTGTGGCTCACGCTGTCTTTCATCTGTTTGACTTTAGCCGTGACCTGTAGAAGAAACAGACTCTGTTACAGGAAGGAGGTCCAGGAGAGCATGTCCCTGTTAAACGCCGCCTCTCTGTATTTAATTATTAGTGATTCATCTCTGGCTCTCTTCCACAGCACGTCTTCCTGCCCCCGCCCCTCCCTGAGCCTGGCTCTGCTGGAGCTTTCTTCCTGTTAAAAGGGAGTTTCTCCTTCCCACTGTTGCTCATGTGATTGCTGGGTTTGTCTCTGTATGCATTATTGTAACGTCGACCTTTCAATATAAAGCGCCGTGAGGCGACTGTTGTTGTGATTTATGTGTAAATAAAACTGAACTGATTGGAGGAGATGATGACAGCCTTCACAGCAGAGACCAAACACACTTACGTCACTGACAGATCGACCCAGCTCGTGAGCAATCTTCTCCCAGCGGCCCGGAGTTCCACCTGGGAATTTCACCATCAACCTGCTGAGGAGACTCAGCTCGTCTTCAGTCCAGTCGGCAGCCTGAGGACAGACAGACAAAGTTCACAGAGGCTGGATCGTTTAGCAGAACCAGAACAGGTCCTCTTTAGCACCTGATGTGAGCAATCAATACGCGATCAATAACCTTCTTCTTGGGGGCTCTGCGGTCCTGCAGCCAGTCGTCCATCTGCTCCTCGATGTCCTCGATAGATGTGGTCGGGTCATAGCTCTGGGTGTGGTTCTCTGCCGATGGCTCGTAAACGGGAAACTCCACCTTCGGCTTCTTCACCTTCGGCCGCTTCTCTCCTGGGAGGGTTAGACTGATTGATTACTGATCACTCTGAAGGCAAACTGGCAGCTTGATTATTGATCAGCTGTTCTTACGTGGAGCCACTTCCTGCTCAGCTTCAGCCTCTCTCTGCTCCTGCTTCATCTGCTGATAGTCCTCATAGTACTGCTTCACCTCCTGCAACAGAGAGACTGGGTCAGAACCAGAGCCGGGACCAGATCTGCCACGTCATCAGGCTGGGACAGGAAGCTTTCGTGTTTCCATGGATACAGCTCTATCTCGCAGCCGTCACCTTTCCCGCTCTGTGCCAAAAATCGCCACATTAACCCGCTCAAAGCGTACCGAGGGTGTGTAACAGGAGGTTGGCTGTGTCCCGGCGTCCACAGGAACCTCTGAATCGCAGCTACAAGCTCGCATAAACTGTTTCTAAGAACAACAAACAGTTAACGGTCACATCATTTCATGAAATGAAACAAGCAGAACAGAGCCTCGACAGCACGAGCTAACCGAGCGAACATTTTCTGAAAGCAGAGATTTCACAGATTCCTAAACTGCGAGTTTCGCTCCAACGAAGATTTAGCGAACCAGCCGCAGAAGCTGACCGCAGAATAAACATCCAGCTTGTTTCCTTAATAACTCAATCTCCCACAATGCCTCAGAGCCGTTTCCTGTTAAAAAAGTCCAGTTTTCTGCCCAGTTACAGACATTTGATTGGACGAGGATCTTAAATTTAGTAACACGTGTACTTTTCGTGTTGCAACTTCTGATCGATGGAACTGACGTAAACACGACAACGTTACAGTGATTCTATTGGCTCAGCGATTAAAAAGAGGTGTCAATCATGCAAACCGGCCAATAGAAGCCAGAGTTACAGCCGCTCAGACTTTAAATGGAAAAGGCCTGAGAGTGGAGGCGACTCTCGACAAATACTCAAACATTTTTAGGCGTGTAAATAAACTTCAATCATTTCTGCGTTCATCTCTAAATGAACTGACAGACGGTCGTCATCAACAGTAATCTCTCTGCTTCACAGCACAAATCTTTGCACAGGTGATGAATATGTTTACTGTCGACATATTTTCAGAGGCTTTATGCAATAAAATGCAAAGATCAATGAGGCGACCTCCTTCCCTGAGTCCAGCCTCTCTGACACATCTGCTGTGATGTTTACAGCTTTGTAACTGCAGAGAAACACTCCACTGATTTCAGCAGGAAGCCCAGGAGGACCCTCGGGGCTCAGCTGGTTCTGTGCTGACGGTCGTCACCTCTGACGGGGTTTCATCGACCAATCACATCACTGGAAAATAGTGTCATCACTCCTGGGAGACCCCACTGTGGTTAGAGCATTAGGGTGTGAAGCATCGATCCTGTTCCAGTTGTTCTGGTGCTGAAACACCGGCTGACCTGGGGTCAGATCTGCTCTGAATCCCTCAGATGTGATGGTAGAACGTCTAATCAATATTCTGATCAGTTATCTGTG